TACTTCCGTAGTGATACTGCCTCGGAAACCCAAGGAGGGGTCGCTATGAGTTGGGGCCGACTCGATGGCAAACAACAACAACAACAACAACAACATACATATACATATACATATATATATATATAGGAGCTCTGGTAACATAGTGCCTAAAGCACTTGACTGCTAACCAGAAGGCTGGAGGTTCAAACCCACTGGCCACTCCTTGGAAGGAAGATGGGGCAATTTACTTCCATTGTGATACTGCCTCGGAAACCCAAGGAGGGGTCACTATGAGTCGGATCCAACTCGACGGCAGTGAGTTTGTTTTTACACACACACGCACCCTTGGATAAAGGCCATACCCCTAAGGAAAACTCCCCTTTCAACCAACTGGCTGCTCATATCAGTTCACAAAATCGAGAATGATTATATAATATCTGCCAAATCACCAAGAATTATGGCCTAGCCAAACTGACACATAACCTTAACCATTACAGTAGTGAATATTCCAATGGTGTATGGTCAACATATGATCTCAGTACTGATTCACTCTTGCTCTTGACAGTATATTCTATGCTTAAAGGTAGAATGTCGCCTGTTTACATGTAAATCTTGAAATGTGCTTACTTTAAGAATGGAATTATCTTGTCTTGTATTTTTGGTATCATAGCCTTCCAGTAAACAGCGACGAGTGGTATTTCCTGATCCAGCAAACTCTGCCAGGTTTAGATCTGCAAAGCCCAGCTATGAAAAGAAAGAGAATTATATTAATAGACTACCTACTAGGCTTCTATCACATTCTCCTTAAAATAAACATTCAATCCATGCCTTAGCCAGTCTTCTCAAACTTTAGTCATTTGCAATCTTTGCCACTTTAACAATACCTGTTCTGTTACTTGCTTAATAGTTGTTTTTAAATTGGTATAGTTTTTATAAAAATTTATTATCTATCCTACTCTTAAGTAATAGGATCTTTAAAATCATAAATTTGATGTGGTAAATATATCTTTCTATACATATTTAAAATATATATAGCTGTTCAAATAAAAATAATATGTATCAAACAACAAAAGTTATTGCCAGTAGCAGGGGTACTCACACCACACTATGGGACATAGTAGCAGACCAATCAGATGATAATCTGCATATAAAATATAAAGCTAATCAGACTCTCTCCCATTCTGGTTCCTGTTCTAACCAAGTTAGACACTTATGTCTAACCAAGTTCGGCAAGAGACAAGGCAAAGTTAACCACTGATGACTACAGATATTTGCAGGTTGTAACATTCTCCACGTAAGAACTGTAATGATTTAAGTGAATCAAATGCTTTCCTTGGAACAAGCTGCTTCTTTTCCACCACCTTCTACAACTTTTGCCTTGCTGATTACCTCTGAACTGACTCCCTATTGAACCTACCTTCTCCCTTTCTCATATTTCAGCCCCAAATCAACCTTCTTTGAGGCTCGCCAGAAGTTCAGCTCAAACTTGTTCCTCCCTCTTCTTACTATTTGGGCTTGGTCTCCATCTTCTGCAGCTACCAAATGTTCCCTATGGTCTTTCCTCTGATGATGCTCAATCCTATTTCTCACTTGCAAGTGGTAGAACAAATCAATCCCATTATATCATTATTTTTGGAATAAATTAAGTCTACGCTAAATGACTAGAGTCTCTTACTAACAAGGAAAAATGAGTTGCTCTTGCAGTTAATTAAACACATCTCCCTGAGTATGTAATAAAAAGTATCCTAAACTTCAAAGACTGCTGTGTTTTTAAGTTGTTTGCTTTAAGGTTTTAAAACACATAGTGAGCACATAAAAATGGCATTCAGGATGAATATTTTAATTGCAGGCTGTAATATTATCTCAGCAGCTTCTAATAGGTCAAAAAGAATAAAGAATAATAACTGAGAGTCCAGATGAAGGGTTATGAGCTCTATATGCAGTAAGTTGGGCACACATCAAGCCACAGGTAACATCTACCTAATAATCCTCATTTGGTGACTCTGGTGTCATTGCCTCTTTTTGGGGGTCCAGATCGGCAGAAAAAGCCTGGATGTGTATTGGGCAAAGCCACATCCAACTGAGCATGTGAGACTTACATGATTATTAGATCAGACATTATCAACACAGAGTATTTCATATCTTCTCTCTTTGAACCTTCTATGCTTCCTTCCTCATCTTCACTCTCTGCTGATGACCTGGCTTTCCATTTCATTTAGAAAATAAGAACAATCTGAAAAGTACTTCCACAAGCTCTTACCATCGTGTCATCCATCACCTACCTGCATCTGTGCCCATATATTTGCCTTCCCACTTACAGAACTACAGATGAACTGGCTGTGCCTCTACCTGAGGCCACCTGTTCTCCTCCTGCCTGCTGAAGTTCACTGCATCAGCCATTCTTCCCTCCGTTTTGCATTCTAAAAATTTCCCTCTACTAGATCACTCCCATCAGCATACAAACTGCTGGATTTTCTCATACCTTAATGAACACAAGACAACAAAACCAAAGCCTGTCTGTTATAGATTTAACCATGTCCCCCAAAATAAGTGTTGTTGTAAATCCTAACACATTATACCTGTGGTTAAGCAGCTCTAGTGGTGCAGTGGTTAAGGCCTCTGGCTCCTAACCAAAAGACTGGTGGTTCACACCCACCAGCCACCCCATGGAAGAAAGATAAGGCAGTCTGCTTCCATAAAGATTTACAGCATTGGAAACCCAATGGGCATTGCTAGGAGTCAGAACCGTCTCAATACCAGTGAATTTTTTTAAATAAACACCTGTGGTCATAATCCTGTTTGGGAATGAGTTTCCTCTGTTATGTTAATGAGGCAGTACAAGTGTGGAAAGTGTCTTAAATCAATCTCTTTTCAGATATAAAAGAACAGAGTTAGGGGAAGATATATACCATGTCACAGGAAGATCACCAAGGAGCCAAGGAACAGAAGCTGCAAAGAGACAAGGACATTTTCCCAGAGCTGAAAGAAAAAGAAAGCTTTCCCCTAGAGCCAGTGCCCTAAATTTGGACTTCTGGTTTCCTAAGCTGTGAGAAAATAAATTTGTTTTTAAAGCCACCCACTTGTGATATTTCTATTTAGCAGCACTAGGTAAGTAAGATACTCTCTTACCCCACATCTCCCTGCAGACTACTGGACCACTTTTCTGCTCCTCTTTACAAACTCCTTGAAACCACTGTCTATGCTGTCCTCCAATCTCTGTCTCTGGCTACCTTCCCAAATTCATTTTTCTCCACTCTCCTCACTTATTTTGCTAGCCATAGTTCTCTGTTACCTGAAAATGCCAAGATTGCCTCAAGGCCTTTAAATACTTACTGCTCTGCCGGAAACAGTCTCTCTTAGACCTTGTAACTTTCTCTCTCACTCCATTAGGTCTCTGTTGAAATGTCATCTCTTTGAAGGCTCTTTCTCAGACTACTCTTAAGATATGACTCTCTCCTCTTCCCTGCAGTTGTCACCCTCTAACCTCTTACCTCGGGAGCTCTGGTAGCATAGTGGCTAAATCACTTGCCTGCTAACCAGACGGCTGGCGGTTCAAACCCACCAGCCACTCCTCGGAAGGAAGGCTGGGCAATCCTACTTCCGTAGTGATACTGCCTCGGAAGCCCAAGGAGGGGTCGCCATAAGTCGGGCCGACTCGACGGCACATAACAACAACAACAACCTCTTACCTAAGGAGCTCTGGTGGCGCAGTGCCTAAGGAATCTGATTGCTCACCAGAAGGCTGGCAGTTCAAACCCACCAGCCACTCCTCAAGGAAGGTTGGGCAATCTACTTCCCTAGTGATATGGTCTCAGAAACCCAAGGAGGGGTCACTATGAGTCAGTTCCAACTTGATGGCACGTTAACAACAGTCCCCACCTGAGCTACCTCATTAGTATAAACTGTCAGGTAGGGGTGTGTGTTCGAGCCCTTGCAGATAACAAAGACACTTCAATAACGGGAAATTTTAAGATTTTAGAGGTTATCTCCCAGGAACCAAGGACAAAGACCAAATTTTCTGAGGAATGTTATTTGTAAACCCTTAGTGTCTAATCTCCTCAACTCATTCATGTGCACAAGAAAGGTGACCCAACCACTACCTCAAGGTTCAAGAGTGATTAGTGTAAGCTAACCATGGCAATCTGTTCCTATTGCCCACTGCTGGTTTGCTGCTGTTGTTGTCAGGTATCATCAAGCAGGCTCTGACTCATAGTAACCTTATGTACAACAGAACAAAACACTGCCCGTTACTATGCCAGCCATCCTCACAATCTTTGCTATGCTTGAGCCCACTGTCCCAGTCACTGGGTCAACCCATTTCATTGATAGTGTTGCCCTTTTTCTCTGACCAAGCATGATATACTGCTCTAGGGATTGATCCTTTCTGATAACATGACCAAAGTACATGAGATAGGGGTGGGCATATGATCCAGTTCTGGCCAAAGAAAAGATAAGGGGAAATCCTCTGAGGGTTATCTAGGAAAAGTTTTCTCACTCAAAAAAAAAAAAAAAAAAAATCACACAATGAGAGGCAGCTGGAGTTCATAGTATGTGAGTGTGTTGACTAAAACTTGAGCAACCAGTTACTTGCCCAAGGGTAGCTAATCAAGGACAAGGTCAACACACAGAGAATGGCAGAACAGAAACAGAAAAGGAATATGAGTTCAAATGAAGATAAATCACTGGATTAACCAATCCTAGAGCAGATCTATTTCATGACTATTTGTTTTCTCATATTCTAAAAAATCTCCAGATGAGGCATTTTCTGTTACTTATAGCTAAGAAGCTCTGGTGGTGTAAGGCCCAAGGCATTTAACTTGCTAACCAGAAGGTTGGCAGTTGAAACCCATCAGCCACTCCGTGCAATCTACTTCCATAAAGATTTTACCACCTCAGAAACCCAAAGAGGTTTGTTATGACTCGGGATCAACTCAATGGCAGTGAGTTTCTTTTTTGTTGTTGTTGTTGTTGTTTATAGCAAAGAGCATCCTAACCGACATTGAAACCAATTGCGTTTAGGAAATTAGTTAGATTTAACAGTTAAAACAACGCCCAGGTCCTGGCTTAGATAACTGGATAGATGGCAACACCACTCAAAGATATTGGTAGAAAATGAGGAATATGTGAGTTCTGGTAGTATTCTAATTACTAATTCATTTTATTCACAAAAAGGTGAGCACATTCACTAGTAATTCCACATAGTTAGTAAATTGTAACTAAGGGTCCTGGTGGTGCAATGGTTAAGTGCTTGTCTGCTAACTGAAAGAAAGGCTTGTGGTTCAAATTCACCAGAAGGTCCATGGGAGAAAAGATCTGGTAATCTGCTCCTACACAGATTACAGCCTAATCTTTAGAAGGTAGTTCTACTCAGTCCTATAGGGTCGCTATGAGTCAGAATCAACTCCATGGCACTCAACAACAAGAGTAACAGAAACAAAGGACAGTAGTAATCATGTGTTCAGAGTTCTAAGAGAGCACAGAGGAGTCCTGTTCTACTCTGGGGAGAGGTGGGTTTTGGAATATTTCCCAGGGAGATTGTTTGAATTAACAAATTCTTGCCTTCCGCTAGGGAGACCTGGGTTCAATCCCTGGCCAACGTATCCCATGTGCAACAATCACCCTTCTATCAATGGTGATGGGTGTTGCTATGATGCTAAACGGGTTTCAGCGGAGCTTCCAGACAAGATGGACTAGGTAGAAAAGTTTAGTGATTTATTTCCAAGCATCGGCCAATGAGAACCCTAAGATCACAATGTTCTGAGGGCAGTGTTTCATTCAGTTCTGCATGGGGTTGCTGTGAGTTGGGGGCTGACTCAATGGTAACTAATGATGACGATGTGGCTTAATGTAAATCAGAATTCATCCTTTAGTAGAGAAGTTAAACTTAAAGATAATGTCCCATAACCATCATTTAGAAAGAATAAGCCCGAAATGTTATTACTGGACCCAAGTGCTTGAAAAATAGCCAAGCTTGAAAAGCAATTACAACAGTAAACCACTTTATTTTTAACCCTATAAATAGCAATGGGCAACAAATATTACAAATTCCAAAAGAGTTAAGGAAAATCTACTTACCTTTGCATAGGCTTTTCCACCTTTCAGTTCCTGTCAAAGATAGAAAACACTGTAATGATAGCATATGATTAAAGATTAAATATTAAATATCAAAATAATTCTGAAGTAGACATTTACATTCTGGCAGATACATACCACAGACAGAAAAATTCTCATGATCTTAAACCCAACTATATAGACCTCCACATCTACCAAAATAACCACAATTTTTATTTAGCATTTTACTTTAATCTGAAAGAAACAAATGGTGATAATAAAAGCTAAAATTTTATCTACTGACTGAAGAAAAGAGCTTCAAAAAAGTGTCCTGGCTCAATACAAGAACCTGAATCACCAGATAAGAGGTCTAAGGGTTATCCTCAACTCTCTTTTTCCTTCATTCCCCACATCCAATCCATCAGTGAGGTCTACATACAAAATATGTCCTGAATCTTACCATCTGTACAGTTATCCCTGTATGCCAAGATAAAAGAATTTCTGACCTAAACAGCTGCAACCACATAGTGGGCTCTCTGCAATTTATCTTCCATATTTTAGAGGTCTATTTCCACAAAAGGCTTAAAATATGTAAAAATCATTTTATGATTATGTATATTGATGTTACATTTTAATTGAGTAGATTAAATATGAGAATCAAAAGTACAGCCAAAACTCCCTCCCCTCAAGTGCTATCAGTTCGCTCAAAAGGCAGAATAAGAAAGCTAAAAATACAATTTTTTATCTGTACAGAAGAGTGCAGAAGGGTGCAGGACCGGAATGGAACATACCAAGGCAACAAACCCTTGCTTTATATTCTAAAGCCCTCTATGTGTAATTTTTAATGGTGTATAGTGTTACTTTGATAATTTTTAAAATTTTATTTTAAAGCCAGTAATTTAATTTAATAGTGGTGACTGCCTGATTCTTCTTCTTTACTCAACATAAGTAAGATCACACACTTATTATGTATGTTAGGTTGAACCATATGAAATGGCTGTTTTTGTAAATTGTTAGCAGTCAATTTGTTAAGTAGAAGGAGATATCTATAAAAGTACATGGACTTAAAATCAGCAAGATTTGGGTTTGAGTCCCTACTTTGCTATTTATTAACTGTGCGAATTGGGGCAAGTTAAGCTAACCTCTCTGAGCCTGGAAATGGAGAAAGTAACACCTAATTTAAAGGTGGTCGTTAGAAATAATACATCAAATTTTCTCATTGCTGTCAAGTCAGATCTGACTCATAGCGACCCCTCCATGGGTTTCCAAGGCACTATCACTATGGAAGTAGATCGCCCAACCTTCCTTCCAAGGAGTGGCTGGTGGGTTTGAACTGCCAGACTTCTGGTTAGCAGACAAATGCCTTAGGCACTACACCACCAGAGCTCCTATAATACATAAAAAGCCCACCACAATACCTACCAAGGAACACAAATGCAATGATAGGTAGCATATAGACATATAAAACCCCCCCAACTAATACAAATAAGGTATGTGTAGTGAGACTGAGATGAAGGTTCTTAAGTAGTGTTTTAATTTATAATTTCAAATTCTTCATATTTGCCATAGTAATTTAAATATTGCTGTAAGTGTGAAGTGAAATTACATATATTACCCGTTCTCTTGAAAAAAATAAAGCAGAGTTAAATAAAGTGAGTCAGTGACTGTGAACTAATTATGGTTTTTGAAAGGGGAGAATAGGCTATTTTTATACCTTTCTCACAGACACTCTGTAGATACAAGGATCTAGGATGCCCGTGGCAGCACTTGCACTCATTTTGCACATAAATGAGAACTTCTTTCTCCAGTGAACAGAGTTTGCTTGAACCACCTCCCTGAAGAGAAAAAAAAAAAGAAAGCCAGTTAATTAATTATCATTGAAAGCACGCTCATACCCTCCCTCAAGTCTATAATGCAAAAGTGATAATAATTAAAGTCAGTATTTGGAAACAGTAAACCAGGAAGAAAACAAATTCCTAACAATATGATTAAAAAATCTTTGGAAGGTGTCAATTATTCAAAGGAAACTGGGGGAAAAAATAAATTTATTTATCAATTCAATCAATACAAACTGAGGCTTCACTATTCAACAAACAATACATATTTATTTTATGTATGCTGGGTTATATGCTAGGTGTTTAAACACAAAGATGAGGAAATAGTTCTAACATTGTGGGGCTTATGTTCTGTATTTTTTTTTTTTTCTCCTTAGCACCCCAGAAAAGAAACTCTGGTGGTATAGTGGTTAAAGGCATTTGGCTGCTAATCAAAAGGTCAGTGGTTTGAACCTATCAGCCGCTCTGCATGAGAAAGATGGAGCAATCGTTTCCATAAAGATTTACAGCCTTGGAAACCCAATGGGGGTCACTATGAGTTGGAATCACCTCAAATGACTGCCACTGAGTACCCCAGATGGCTATCTTGGGCCCCTCCTAGTAGTACCTGTCCCCAAAAGAAACCACTGTTCTCATTTCTACCGCTGTAAGTTTTTTTTCCTGAATTTTGAACTTCATGTAAATGGAATCATACAGAATGTACCTTTTTGTTCAGACTTCTTTTATTCAACATTGTGGTTGTGAGATTCCTCCATGTTGTATAATTTGTTATTTTTCATTGTGGTATAGGATATATACTGTTTTATGAACCCTCCACTATTTTTTAACCACTTTACTGTTGATGGTTAACTGGATTATTCCCAATTTGGGGTTATTACAAACAAAGCTGCTATATATATTCCTGTACATGTCTTTTGGTAGACACACACATTCATTTCTGTTGAGTATGGGGGTCACTATGAATTGGAATCAACTCGATGGCAGTGAGTTTGGTTTTTGATTTTAATGGCTAATGATCACAAGCTTTTCTTCTTGTGTTTGTTGGCTGCCTAAATGTCTTCTTTGATGAAATGCCTGTTCCTATACTCTGCTTATTTTTAAATTGGATTATTTGTCTTTTTGTTGTGAAGGTGTTGATGTTTTCTATACACTTGAGACTAGTCCCTTGTCTGATATGTCTCTACCAAAATTTTTTTCCCAGACTGTGAGTTGTTTTACTCTTTTAGTGAAATATTTTGATGCACCTAAATGCCTAATTTTTAGAGGGTCTTAGTCATCTATTTTGTTTTCTGGGTTTGTGCACTTTTAGTTGTATTTGATAGTATAAACCAAAGTCACTGCCGTCAAGTTGAACCCAATTCATAGTGACCCCTCCTTGGGTTTCTGAGGCAGTATAGTGCCTAAGGCATTGGACTGATAACCAGAAGGCTGGTGGTTCAAATCCACCAGCCACTCCTCAGAAGGAAGGCTGGCCAATCACTTCCATAGTGATACTGCCTCGGAAACCCAAGGAGGGGTTGCTTTGAGTCAGGGTCCGACTTCACAGCATATGTTTGGTTTTTTGGTTTATCACTACGGAAGTAGATTGCCCAACCTTCCTTTTGAGAGTGGCTGGTAGGTTCGAACTGCCAGCCTTCTGGTTAGCCTTCGGCACTATGCTACCGTATATTTATCCCTAAATTAGGGCCCCTAAACCGAAACACCAAACTCACTGCCATCGAGTCGGACTCGACTAATAGTGACCCCTTTGAGTTTCTGAGGCGGTATCTCTATGGAAGTAGATTGCCCAACCTTCCTTTCAAGGAGTGGCTGGTGGCTTTGAACTGCCAGCCTTCTGGTTAGCAGTCAAATACCTTAGGCACTATGCCACCAGAGCTCCCTGGGCCCCTAATTTTGTCCCTATATTTTATTTGATGGTCTTTATGGTTTTAGGTTTTACATTTACGACTTTAATCCTAAAGATAATAAGCTTGAGTTCGCTTTTGCATATGGTGTAAGATATGGGTCCTGTTTCATTTTTCTGCAAATGGATATACAGTTTTGTTATTAAGGAGACAATCTATTCCCTATTTAATGAGTTTTGGCCCTTTGTCAAACATCATTTGTCCCGAGGTGGATGGATTTACTTCTGGGTTCTCAATTCTGTTCCACTGGTCTGTTGTCGTACCAGGACCAAGTTGTTCTAACTACCATGGCTGTATGGTAGGTTCTGAGATCAAGGATCATGAGACTTCCTACCTTTTTCTTCTTTAGTAGTGTTTTATTTATCTGGGGTCTCTTCCCTATCCATATAACACTGATGATTAATTTTTCTACCTGTTTAAAGAAAGATGATGGAATCTGGGGTGGGATTGAATTATGACTGACATTTTCATGATATTAAGTTGTGCTATCCATGAGCATAGTAGTCTTCCATTTATGTAGGTCTCTCTTGGTTTCTTATAATAGTGTTTTGTACTTTTCTTTGTATAGGTCTTTTGTGTCTATGGTTAAATTTATTCCCAAGTATTTCTTCTTTTGGGTAGTTACTGTAAATGGTATTGTTTTCCTGATTTCCTTGGAATACAACTCATTTTTATATGTTGATCTCATACTCAGCCACTTTGCTGAAGCTATCAATTAATTCCAATAATTTTCTTGAAGAGTCTTTGGGATTTTCTATGTATAAGGTCTTTTCATCTACAAATAGAGATAGTTTCACTTATTCTTGCCAATTTGGATGCCTTTATTTCCCTTTCTTACCTTATTGCTCTGTCAAGGTTTTCCAACACAATACTGAATAAGAGTGGTGACAAAAGGCATAGTTGTCTGGTACCCAGGGCTTTTATTTTATAATTAGTGCAACAGATAGAAAAATAAACAAATTTTTATTTTATGATGAATTATTATCACAGTTTTACTCTTATTTCACCCATAACAGCAACAGAAGCTACCATTTATTAGGAAGTTACCACATGCTATTTAATCTCACAACAACCCTAATGTAGCTGGTGTTACCCTAAAAAGTAGGTGGAGTTATCCTCACTTTGTAGATAGAAAAAATGAAGCACAAGGAAATAAGTTACCTCAAGGCAGGAAGCTGCAGAACTGGCATTTAAACCAGGCCCTTTAACCCTGAAGCCCATTTGTCCACAAAGGATAATCTATATTCTTTCAACAACTGTACTCTTTTGAGGTTCCAGGCCTTTGCATATGCTGTTCCCTCTACTTTTCTCTGTAAATATAGAGGGTTTAGCCTTAGAAAGGAGGAATAATCCTTCCCCTAACGAAGAAAGAAGACAACAGGTGAAAATAAAGAGAAAATTGGACAAAAGAAAAAAGGTTGATGGGTGAGTTGAAAATACATAAAGCCTTGAGAACAGTTAGGAATAAATGCTATGGTGAATCTGAGGAGTCAACCTGTAATTGTCTTGATGAATAAAATGAAACTGTATTAAGACCAATCAGTTTGGTTTTATAGCTTTCTCTATCAAAATCCAGAAGCCCAAGAATAGAAATTACAAAAGCAAATATAATTTAAAACCCAAGTATACATGGTGTGGTATGTACATGTAAGCCTTGTACAGGACAAAGATAAAACAAAGACAATGTACACAGTACAGAAAGCTGAATGGGTCGGCTGAGTCATGGCCATGCGGCTAATTATATATTATTGAAAACAAAGGGTATCATCACAAAATCATGATTGGTAGCAGATCGATTCATCACTGTTGCAGGCAGGACTACAGAGGTGGGGGAAGGATCATGATTAGGATACATACATAATACATAGCTGAAGATAGAAAAGGGTTACAGGATTGGTTCTGGGCCTTGACTATCTGGCTCAGTGGTGGTCTGGATAGACTCAAGACCGGGCAGCCAGAGTCTTGGTTAGCCACAAGGTAGCTACCAAACAATACCAGGACCCCAACCTTAATTTAAATTAGAAAAGGACACACTCAGGCAAGTTCCCTAGTTCTTTGTGTGAGGTGATCTACTTTCAACCACAGTCTTCCAGAGTGCAAACTGCCCTTCCCTAGGTTTGTCCTGGAACTTGTCTACCAATGGCCACAATGCTGGTTTAATGGTCAGAAAGAGCTCAAACGGTGCTTGAAATTTATGTTAAGCCTCAGTGGAATTACGGCTCCCACTGTAGACCACAGCCTTCCACAAACCCAAGTGCCTTAGCATTGAAGCTCTAATGCAGAGAATGAGAGGTACTCGGCAAAGAATGGATCTGGAGGTACAGGTATTTATCCAGAAATTTTAGGCATCCCCAGTAAGAGGACCTGTACACTGAAAAATAAGGGAATTAAAATAAAAATCAATGAAAAAAACAAATAACAAATAAAACCAGAATTTCTTACTGTTGCTTTCCTCCCAATATTTTTTGGCCTCAAAGACTTGCTGGAGGAAGTATGCCGAGTTTCATGGCACTCGGTTACCCCTGTCACTGACGTCATATTTGTTTTAGGATCAGGAATCAAGAAACAAACAAACAAAATTTTAACTCTCATTTTATTTTTCTTATGAAATCTTATAAAAATATTTAAAGATGGCAAGTTGAACACATGTATTAGACTCTGCTCCATTCCAAAAACTTAACTAAATTAAAAGAAAGGAAGGAAAAAAAAAGAATTAAAGGTATTATCCACAAGGGAAAAACGAGAACCAGAGAGGTTACAAAAATAAATTGCCAGGAAAGGACAAGTGATAGCTGATTTAGTAAATCCAAGAAAGCTGAACCCTAAGCTGTCAATGATGAAAGCCAAGCACAAGGATCTTAAATTGGACTTGAATTAGAATGAAGGAGGGACAAAAGGCAAAAGAATTGCTTGCAAACTGCTTTAGAAAAACCAGACCCTCAGATCCTCCCCCTGCCTCAGCAGAAAACTGAGCTTTATTGTCCTGACCAAGTAAAACACAGCTCTGGTCTGCCTGACCTGAGGGTAGCTTTTAAAATTGTCTGGATGGCATGAGAGTAGGGGGCGGGGAAGATGAAAGACGACATACCAAATGCT